TTCGCAATGCACACCGTGAACCTTTCACGGCATGGACACAGGGTGAGCTGGATGAGATGGTGCGACGGAAGAAAGACAAGGATTCCAGGCCTACCTACAAAACCATTGCTCGGTTCCTTCAGAAGCCCATTGAGGAAGTCAAGCAGGCATGGAAGGTCTATCAGCAACTTGAGGCTCGCGGCTAGGAACCCGGTCATCAAATGCAACAGCGACCACCGGAGGACTAAATGGTAGGCCGTGGCGGTGTATTCGGCTAGCGCTGCAGGTTGTTGTGACGGTTGGGATTGTAGTCATTATTGATCACATGAAATTTGCTTGCTTGCACTTGACTGCCATTTTACTAGGGTGATATTGCTTGCCGTTTTTGGGTGTTGCCGCTGACGTGAAGTGAATTCATGACTGAGTTGCTCAAATCATGTCGGAACAAGTCGTACAGACGTACATTACCTGGACCCATGGAGCGCAGCCGACGTGGTTACAATTTCACGGACCTGGAGCCCTACTTGACAGACCCATTCGGCAGACTACGTCACCTCCGCCCCCACCAAGTTTCCCACTGCTTCTTCCACCTCCGCCTCCTCCACCGCCACCACCACCGGTGATTCTACACCCACAGTTTATGCCCTCAGTACGGAGCCCCTCGTTCTCAGCTCCTCGCGGACAATCCTGCCCTGCCACGTCGAAATCGCAGCGCACACGCCGCTCGCTCTACAGCACTGACCATTCCCGTGATGAAGAGCTACGCAGTCCAGGGCGTTCATCCAAACGATCTCGGACGGCATCCGCTTCGGCACCGCGGAGATCTCGGCGGCCTTTCACAGTGTTCCCCTCCAAACGTGCTGGCCGTCCATCGCTGTCCCCATCGGCAAATTGCAAGCATTACTGTCATGCCATCCTGCGCCATGGGCGGAAATGTCTATCCCCTTGTGATCGTAGACGACCAGGACATTACCATTGCAGGTGTGCGCGGCATCAACGGCGGTGAAGCTTAGGAGTCGTATATTACAAACCTCGCTGCTGTGTCTCACCTTGAGTTTGAAAAGTTGCCTTGCTTGCCTTCAGCTGTGCGCGGTTGTCATTGCATGTGTGTCTTCGCCGCAGATTTCGATTGCTTTTAGCGGCCGCGCGAGGGCTTGTCTTGCCGCTATGAACCCTCAATATTTCGAGTACCAGATCGACAGAGGAGTGGAATGGATTCGAATTTACTCACCGGGCACGTGGCGACCCGTTCCCGATGATGCTCCAGTGCTGGACCCACTCTACGCTTCCACGTATCGGGAGTGGCGCAGGTCATATCGCTTCCAAGTGTACTGGTCCGAAGACAGATCCCATAGTCACGCCCAGTTCCTATGTGTCCTACCACGTGTGGGAGTACCGAGACTGGCAAACACGAGGGTATCAACGACTTGGAGCTCCTTTACCAGCCATTGGACTCGCGATGCTCGTGAATGCAGACGCCAATTCCTCGGCGGGCTCATCGGTGCCGGATGGGGCGTGGCGAGAGCCGTCACCACCACCATTCTATGATCCTTGGAACGATTCGGAGTGACACTTGAGCAGCATGTCGGATAAAATGACGCGGTTGTGCTTGCTTTGTATGCGATTCCATGTTGGGTTGTCTTGCTTGGTGTTGTGCGTTCCGTCTCCATGTGGTCGCCGCTTTCCTTTATGACTTCGAGCGGCTTGCCTGGTTGAAATGTTCAATTGTACAGTGTATGGCACAGCACGATGGGTCCTGCCTCGCTACTTTGACTACGACATCGTCAATGGCCCAGCGAACACGAGTGTAGAATGGATTCGGATCTATGTACCGGGTCCGTGGCATCCAGTCGCCGCGAACACCTTGGGACCAGCCCCGGATGACTCAACCACCTATCGGGAATGGCGCAAGGTCTACCACTTCGAAGTGTATTGGCCGAGGGAAAGCACAGGCGGCACCAATACAGGTGCTGTTTCGCGACCGGTATCTTATGCATCCTTCTATACTTGGCATTATAGAGACTGGGTCACCAGGGGATACCAACGTCTGGGTCGCCCACACCCTAGCATTGCACGGCCAGTTTTCGCTTCGGGCGCACCGGACCTCATGTATGCTGGATTGACCTCTTCATCGGCATCCTCCAACTCAGATGGTGGCTGATGCTCGTCCTCGCCTTCCTGGGGAGTCTGTTCAGTTCAATTCGATTCGGGAGATTGACTTCGATACCGGAGCCGTGCATTGCTGCAAAAGTGATTTCTTGCACTGTGGCAGTTGTTTCTCTTTCAGTAATTGTTGTCTGCAGCCGTACACCTATCAATTTGTCTTTCCGGGTTTGCGTTGTCATGCCGTGGCTGGAATGGTGTCCGGATCCTCAACAACCAGATGCCCAGTGGGTCAAGATCTTTCATCCGGGATCATGGATTCCACATGAAGAACATGATGCTCCACCTCCACCGCACACGTATAGAGAGTGGAGGGAGTTCTATGCTCCCAACCCGGACCCAGTCGGTGAGCAGCTCAATGTCACCATGTGGTACAAAAGAGACTGGGCCACAGAGGGCTATCGGAGAGTCGCTGCCCCTCAAGCTGGTCATGACTTTGATTCTATGTGTTTTCCTGATCATCACAGCGTGGCCACGCAATCCGCGGCATTGAGTATGACACCGCAGCTGTTAGAAGCGATCCTCAGGTCCTCGGATGCGGCGGATTTCTCTACCGAAGAACTGACTCGTCTCCAAGAGGGGATTTCTCAACAACTGACAGCTCGCGCACGTCACGCTTCCCAACCTCATCAACCAGTACGTGCATCACGTGGAATCACACCATCGGAGACGGTTGGGGTCTCCGAGCCATACCGGCCTGTTAATCCTTCCGACAGCTGCCAAGACAAGGCGAGTCCCATGTTCGAGCTAAATGAGGACTAGACGCACGCGAGTGGGGTAGCGTACAAAATAAGGGTGGTTTTCACACTTTCATTACCTTGCTTGGTTGTTGCTTGTACATGGTTGCGCATGGTGCCTGTTCCTCTATCAGCTGGATCGGAGCCCGCGATACGCCTTGCCTCTTACTTCGACATGGACATCGATGATTCGAAGCAGCACCCATGGCTCGAATACTCGGTCTGGCAGGATCAGGAGTGGGTGCGGATCTACACTCCAGGACAGCCTCAGCGATGGCACCGCGGAGAAACTGTACCTGATCTACCAGACAATTCTTTTCGGGAATGGCAGCGGGTGACTGATCCCAATGGGTACACTGGTGAGCACGGTCAGGCATGGAACATCCGCGACTGGCAGCATCAGGGATACCAGCGCATTCTGTCTCGAATGGAGTCCTTCACAACTCATCATTCGCATGATCAATCTCTTGGTCAAGTTCGGAATTCCGATGCCATTCCAGTTGAGGAGACGTTCACCTACGCCACCCCGTTTTCTCATGGTGATCGCCAGGCTGCTTCACAACTCGCTTCAGTCCTCTATGGCGACACTCGTAATGCTCAACGTGGTGATCTCTCGTTCCCGTCTTCTGAGCGGTTTAGGGCTGTTTCTCGTTCCCCTCGCCGCGGTGGATTTTTTGGTCAACGATAGGGACACAAAGTTGAGCATGTGATCTTCCTGCAGAAAAGGAGACTTCTCGCCCCTCATTGAGGGGCGTGTGTGTGCGGAGTGACAGAATGCCCTGTCACCACCCTTTCGGTTATTCAGCAGGGGGCTTGAGGCTTCTCATCAGGACTCAGGCCAACGAAGACGCCTGATGAGAAGTGTGATGCAATCCGGGACGCTGGATTGTGTACCTGCATCGGTTGTGCAATGTCCATTTGGCCCGTTGTTTCTCTCGCTGTGTGTGCTTTATGTTGGATCTGGTAACGTTTTCGACACTAAAGAGAAGCCAAGTGCCGTGCAAGCCGAAAATCCACCCACTCGAGACTCATCAGTTGTACTCGAAACTCATCAGTTGTACTCGAACCATCTGGAGTTCAAGTGTGTGTGTGTGTGTTTGGGGGTTGTGAACCCAGGTTTCCCCATTGTCCAGGCTTTTGTGGTTAGCGCTCGCATGTCCCTCCAAATGAACCATAGACTTCCGCCATGTGACCCATCTAAAGTCATGTGGGTCTGTCGAAACGATTCATGTACTGTAGATGGGCGAAATCTTGCACCACCTAAGAAAACCTGAAACGATGATTCACCTGTAAGTACCAACAAACAATGGTTTGCAGCGGTTTCAAAGTTGTGCAGGCAAGGTGTGCATTTTACTTGGAGTTGATACTCAATTGATGTTTTCTAAAGAAACCAAAAGGACACAGGTGTCCCGATAGAATGGGGAACCCCGTCTTATGGTGAGGTCCCAGTGATGGGGATTTGCTATCCTATGCGGTTCCTTGATTTCGACTACAGGAATGAGGTGTCCTTGTGTGCGTGTTGCCTGCTGACATCGTGAAGCAAAAATAGTTCCCAAAGGGTCCTAGCCAACTCCATCTGGAGAAGGTATGATGCTGCCGATTGAAGGTGTGCTCTATGGTTGGAGGGTCCTAGCAATGCTGCTATTTGCAGGCTGAATGGCATTTACCCAAATCAGCCTTTTGCTAAAGGTTGCCTCATACTCGCGGTGACAATGACCAGTCGTAGAACAGTGACATGGTTGAAGGGCTGCAATACCCCCACAGGAAAACTGGTTGTATGCACCTGATACAGTGGCGACACAACATTCTTTGGGAACGAGCTGCTCGGCGCGCTGCTGTTTTCACACTGGCTCCGTTTCATCCCAAGAGTCCGTCAACTTGTTTCCCAAAGGGACCGATGATGTACTTAACCCGAAATGGGGTCAAAACACATCCTCCCTTGCACGCCTTGAGGTTGTTTAGTTCACAACTGGTGTGTCTTTTTCAGGGGACCCCCCAATCTAAATACCAAGAAAGGAGTACCCTCAAACAAAGACAGGCGCGAAACGAGCCACCTACGAATCGACCGATGGCAACACACCTTGGGCCCGCAACCCTCCCACCCCCCCCCTCCCCCCTAGCCTGTACAAAGTTCTCCTGGCCTTGCCGGTCCACGCTGTCCTGCGTCCCGCGAGAGTCGAGGGCCAAAGTGCCATTACATCCATTTGCTTCAGTCCCCTGGAAACAAATGAAAATATGTCCAGTAGTGATAGATTCCTTTTAAAACCAACAGGGGAAAATTAACAAATATTCTTAAGCAAATGGAGGATTATACACCCTCCTGTCCGTAGGCACATAACATGATGTTTTAAGCCGCCCACCAGTGTGATGAAAGACCCCGGTTTTCCCGGCCGCCTAGCCAATACTACTTTAAAGGCACCCACAAAGTTTGGCCAGAAGACCCTCTTCATTCTTTTGGGGGCACCCCCCAGAACCCCCTCTGATTAATGACGTCCCTTTCCGGCCCAAAATTGAGAAAATACTAAACATTACTAAAGCTATTGCCAATACTTTTGCCAATGCTAACTCTTTCATTGTCTTTCATAGTCTCAAGGGCTCTATTCCAGAAAGCAAAACAAGGCTAGCCGGAAACTGCTAATGTGCTTTTCAGCTTTAAAAAAACAAAGATTGACAAGCTCGTAAAGGGTACCCCTCTTCAAGGCTGGCCTCCCCCGAACAAGGCGAACCCCCCCTCTGAGTAATCCTGGCCCGGCCCTGGATGGCTACTGGGTGCCATGTTAGTGGACAGGATGGTGTGTATATATATATATATATGTATATATATTCATTTATTTGCTTATTTGTTTAAGTACATATAGATGCATGATGGCTCGGCTCAAAGAAGATGTAGCGCCCGCAGAGCCAAGCGTGCGCTAGGCAGGAGTGACATACGACAGCATCAAATCGGAGAGCAACTTATTTGGCAGCCTACGACTGCATGGAGTCCCATCCAAATCTCCGGTTCTCTTCCGCTGTATCTTTCCTGCTCAATAGCTCGTGCTGCAGGAGCGCGCGTGTAGCTCCGTGCTCTTGAATGCATTTGGCAGAAGCCGAGCATCTTGCTTGGCTGCTCCTGTCTTCCCTGCCATGGCCGACCTGCCCCCACCTCCACGCGATTCCCTAGATTTCTCTCAAACTTGCTGATGCTCAGCAGGGAATGAGGGAATGACCCTATAAACCATTCTTCCTGGTGGCTTCCTTTATTCGGGAATCCCCAGGTTCATTCCCACATTCCAAAACTTATCCCGCCAGCTTGTTAGATCACCCCACCTTGCGGCAATTCCAGTGAATGAGCGAGCCTGCAGGGGGGACGGTTTAAACATCCCCTAAGCCGCCGCTGTGATGGGCTACAAACCAACAAGCAGGTACTCAGGTACCCTCCCAAAAACAAACATAGAACCTGTACAGAAAGGCGTACATGTGTTCTCCTCATTCGACATGATTGCTATGCATTTTCTATTGCAGCTCTGGCACCTTGCTGTGACACAGGGCCTCTCCAGAACAGCTTCATACATTATATTGATCAGCTTTAGTTACCCCCCCCCCCCCCCAATTTTGGTGGTTTTAGAGGAAAGCCAAAAGGACACCATTTGGGGGTGGGTTCCCTACATCAAGACACAGCCATATTAGAGCCACGCATGGCGATGAGGTGTACCGCATCTCCAGTTTCCTGGCTGCACCTTTGGAGGCACACACCCTCAAAGAGGCCCCGTTCCTCGAGGGCTCCCACAAAAAACAGAACAAAAAGCATGGTGTCCTGTGGTGTACCGGTATCCTCAGTGGATTAGCCAAGAGCTGCCTACATTTCTAGTTTCCCATTCAAATGGTCCCACAAAGTATCAAGTCAAGCGACCCAGGGTGTGAGAGAGCCATACATGTTACCACTAACCATTTCCTTCAAGGTTTGAAGCATTTTGAAGCCATTTGCCCTCCATCGACCCGCGAACCCCCGCCCCCGCACCCTTTTCCCCAGCGCGGAATGGTCCCCACCGTGTTTGTTGGTATTCCCTTCTGGGCGGAGTTCGGAGTTTGGACCTATGGGCTCGTCTCTAAAATCGGGAGGATCGAAACTGGTTCGCTTCCCTGTGCTCCTTCCTGAAAAGCAGGTGCCCTTGAAAGAGGCCACACCTATGAAACTGATTCGCCTGCCTGTACCTACCAATAGATATCACTAGACCCGACCCATGGCCAAATTTGCTTTCTCGCCCCCTGGGAAAAAAAGAAAAATATTCCCAACAGTGAACTTGATTCCCTGTAAAACCAACCGACGAAAATACAAAAAAGAAGATCAGCTTCCTTCCCTGCATGTGGGAATGGGACACTTCCTGCAAACGAAAGCCCAGATTCCCTGTACTCCCAAAACATCTTCCTTTCAGTAAATCACAATTTAAAAAAAAAAACATGTTCTGAACCGGACAATATTCTTTTCCGGGGAAAAGAAGAAAGCCCAGCGGCAAATAGAAAATGGGAGTCTCCGTCCCCGGCCGTTTCCGCCTCGATCCGTTATCCAATTCCCCCGAGCCTTGCTTCGCGGAGGGGCACCTGCACCCGACTCGTACCTCGGCGTCTATCCGAACGGAATGAACAACGGCCAAAAGGAAGGCACCCACCAGCTGCGTGTCGATAAAAAAGAAGAGGTGTCCAACATGAAATTTCGAAAAAATGCAATCATATACCCCAGTCAAGGACCTACATCATGGCTCCAATTAGTGGTTTCGACTGGTGGCTTGGAGGTTAGGAGAAGTACTACATTTTACTGCGATTTGATGTAATTAACCTACTTAATGAGTGGGTTATGCCTGCGGTCAGACGCGGTATGTCTACAGCCAGCATGGGAAAGTGCGGGCCTTTGTTGGTTCTTACTTGCGCGGTTCGTGTCATGCTCGGTTCTCTGCATTCAAGAATTCTACACAAAACCATATACTATACAAAGGCGGGCACGCCTATTTGTGGTTGGGATCCTGTCACCCAGCTTTGCATTGTGGCTCGTTCAGGGAAACATTACAGGCGGCTCCCTGCAGGTTGCAAGCAAACCTACCTCATACTATACAGAGGCTTTCTTGCTTTCCTCCGTGCACCATTTTACAAGGCTCGAAATATGTCCCCTTCAAAGTGCGAAAGGGTTTGAAACAGAGTTTCGGGATGGATAAAACAGGCCCTAACCCACCAACAAGAAGAGACCACCTTATCCCCCCCCGGTCCCAAGGGCAAAGCGGTTGCCCTCGGCCGGCACAAACACGAACCAAAAGGGGTGCCAGTTTAACAAACAGAAGAAAGAACCCAGCAAGGGCAAACAGCGCAGCAAGCGCACGAGCAGCAGCACCAACGCAGGCGAGCAAGCAAAGCAAAGCGAGCAAGCGAGCAAACAATGCACACACCAACCCCAAACAGTCCTCGACCTGCCCCCGCCAAAGAGCGACACCACGACCAGGTGCAGCCGCCGCTTTTCCAGCTAGCGGATGTCCGGCCGTGCCGTGAAGTAATGGCGCCGGGAACAGCAATTATGTTTGCCGGGTTGAAAAGCTTGAGCCAAATGGCGCATTGGCCATGGCAATAATCAAACATGCTATGATAAACGTACATGCCCCCAAAAACACCCCCCTCGCCTGTACAAAGACATGAAGTGAATTTGGAAGGGCGCATTGGCCATGTTGAAGTTGAAAAGCAAAAAACAAGAAAACAGAGCCGATTAGGCTACCAGGGTTCGCGGCCCCATACCCGGGCACTCATTGGTGCCCGGATCCCGCCACCACCCCGAATTACGGGTATGGGGCGGATTCGCGCCGGTAGCCAAATCAAACAAGAGAAAGCAAAAAGAAACAGAAACAAAGATTCAACTCCAGAATGGCAGGCATGAAATAAAAATACATTTGCACTGCAACCACATCGAACCGTAAGGTTCGAGTGGATTTATTTCCTGAATTCATGATTTAGGCGCATTGGCCCACTGGTTGAAACGTAGTGCTTCGACCACAAGACCACGGTCTTTAAATTAGCACCGTCTAGGCGCGCGATCACGCAAAGACCTTCGGTAGGAACACCACCAGCTGCAATCAGCGGTTCAGGTCCGAATAGGACCTCACCGGCAGCGGTGCAGCGCATCCGTGATCCTCACCACAGCACCTTGATGAGCTCCATCACCAGCAGCAGCGGTGCTGGAGAAAGCAGATCACCAGCGGCCATAGACGCCGCCGAGGATGACTTCCTTGCTGCGGCGACATACACCTGACAGGTAATCGCTGCCTGCGCGAATAGCGCACAGCTGCGCATGCAGTTGAATTCCGAAATGGCGAATAGCCCAAACACAGAAATACTACAAGGAGCATAGTCCATTATGTGAATTCCGGAATGAAAGCACGCGCGCGTTGGCGCCGCCACGCAAAGGATGCAGACGAACATCAGGTATCACCGATGTCGTCCGCCGCCGTGCCGTCCCCTCCCCTTGTTGACGTTCCAGTCCCCAGGAGGAGGAGGCACGGTCTCGGCCAACTCATCATCCGCACCCCAGGTAGGGGTATGCGGCGAGTTCGGATTCTCGAACTCGCGGGGATCACCCTGCATGTGCGGCTGCCAACCCTGCGGCATTGCGCCAGGCCACATTTGCGGCATCATGCCAGCCATTGGCTGTTGCATGTACCCTCCCATTGGGAAAGCGGGGTACATCGGACTCGGGAAAGGGTAAGGAGCTGCCTGAGCACCCTTGTATCCCGACCCGCGAGCATCAGGCTGATACCCGCCAGTGGGAGTTCTCGATCTGGCGGATCCGCCACGACCGAACTGCCCTTGTTGGTAGCCGTATTGGCCACCCTTGCCTTTGTACTGATCACCTTTGTGACCCTTTCCTGGGAACTGGTCACCCTTGTGACCTCCGCCCTTGGGCCATGATTGCGCAGGGGCTTTGCCCTTTTGCTGATCACCCTTTGACCTGGATTCAGGTCGCGGGGTAGCAGACCGCTGGTCTCCCCTAGGAGTGGCTGCCCGCCTGTGGTGCTTCCCAACCGGCGGGTCAGCAAAAACAATGGCGCATTGGCCGTCGCGCCGCGAAGCGGGGACCATGTCAACCTTGTTGTCTTCGACATAAATGTATGCCTCAGCATACTCAATTGGGGCCGTGATGGATCCACCACCGGCCCGCAAAGAGTCGATACTCCAATCAAGAACAGTGGAAGCATCGAAACTCGGATCTTCAGTATTGAAGTCCGTGAGGCGTCGCTCAGCCTGTACCAATGACATTATGATGTCCGCGCGTGAGGCGCCTAGGCCATACAGCGGAACCAAATACCCGTCCTCAATCCCGATGCGGTAGGCATCAAAGATATGCACAGAGAGGTAAAGGGCAAATGCTGAATTTAGACTGCCCTTTCTCGTCATATGACGACCCCATTGCGCCGCCTGTTGCGGGTGCTCGATCAAATATGCCAAGACAGACATATTTTCGGGAATCGAGACGCCAGTGTTGCTCTCCTCGATGAGCAGCTGTTTCGCTACCCACCGCTCGAGAGCCTCATCACTCGCCCGCACACAAGCGTGAGTGTCCTTTGAGGTGACCTTTGCAACCTCCTGAAACGCAACTTGCACAATGTCCGCGTTGGGAACGTGCACAAGATGCGGCGCACAGCGCAACCCGGTGATCATACAGCTGACCACCTCGCGGATCGGGTTTACCGATGCCATGAGAGGAGCCCACGCGTCGGTCTCCCCTTCGTACCAGCTACTGGCACGGACTGCTTTGAGTCTCTCTAGCCAGATTGGCTGCCCATTCTTAACCAGAGAACGGACGGTGCCTGGCACCCATTCACGATAGAAAATCGGCAGATGGCAACCATTGCATAGAATGGTGCCATACATGTTCAAATGCGCGCACCGAGGGCACCAGTAGTCATGCATGGGAGCATTGTCCCATGAAAATGACACCCCTCTCGGCGGTCCCTGAACATTCAACTCACGAACCGCCCAGGGACGGATGTATATTACATCCCCTTCCTGGTGCAGATAGCATGCGCGCCAGAAGGGTGCATGTATCTCTTCCCGCACGGCAATCAAACCGCGTCGGGTTTTATAGATGCCGGCGGCTTCCTCGATGGCCATCCACTTTAGGTCAATGGCCACAACGACATGGCGCTTGTCCATGTATTTGACGCGATCGTCAACATAAAATTCGCCCTCATTATTGGGGCTGGGCAACTTGAGGAGAGGCACCTTTGCGCCTTCCATCCCAATCATGATCTCCCCCCTGCAGACCTGCTCAGGCCGCATGGGGAAAACTGTGATGGCGAATTTGCCAGGCCTCCGAATGCACCTCGTTTTGAGGGCGGACCGATACTCGGCCATCGTCAGCAGCACGTATCCCGTATAAGGGACTTCAGCTGCTCCCATCGGCCTAAGCAATGGCCCGATAGGCGTTCGGTCACGCAGTGCCCAACGCTTGAAAACTTTGAACGGCACGTCCCTCCCGATTAGGGTGGACCGCGCAAAAAGCACCTCATTCGGGCGCACAGTCGTGCCATCTGTCCTCCAGACTGTCCGTATTAGGAGCTCGACTGGAGGGTACGTTGGGCTCTCCTTCGCGAGAGCGCCCGCCCAGGTCGCCACCTCGACACTCGTGCACTTATGGATCCCGTATAGGGCCTCAAAGAGCGTTGAGATTAGAGTCATCGACATCCAACCTCCCAGAATGTCTGGAACCGTCCCACACAAGAAGGGGGGCTGCTCACCGGACTTCACATTCAACCGCGTTGGGTCAGTGTTGCCCGACAAAATTTCTAACAGCATTTGCGACTCTCTGGAGCTTCGTCCAGCCATCGCCGACACATCCTTAATTTCGGGGAAAAAATGGAAGATGTCGTTACCGGCAGGACAGGCGATTCTGCCTGCTATCCCACTCTGTGCATCAATCACAACCTCCTCACCCTCGTATGTGAGGTTGTAGGTGCTCGAAATCGGGCACACACCGGGCTTTGCCATCAGTGCCTCTTCCAACGACGCACCTGTAGGGAGGACGCCCTGTACGTGCGACTTGGTACCTATGGGACCAGTACTCGCGGACATAAGCCGATAATTTTCGGCACGAAAGTGTGGAAAAAGGTTCTTCATCCTTTCAATTTCTTCTTCAGTGGTACGCCACGCCTTTGCCTCATAGTAAGGCGGCTCCTGCTTTGAGGGCACTAGGTCGCGGTCGCCCATTGATGAGAATTTGTCCACATATGGGCCCATCCCATCATCATCTACGTGACTCTCGTGATCTTCATCCGAGACGTACTCCTTGGGCGGCTCGCCCAGAGCGTCCAGATCGACCTTACCAAGGTCGACCAGCGCCGGAGAATCCAGGACTCTCTGGATCCTCATGAGCTCATTCCTAAACTGCTCAAAGCCTCCGGCCTTGTCAATCACGGAGGTCGGCATTACGCCCTCCCATGATTCCGGAAACATGCACACGTTCGTAGGGGAAAACTCATCATCGGAAATATCCCGATCACGCTCCCGTACGTCGCTGATTAGCGTCACGTCCAACGAGCCGCCTAGGGCCTCGGGACGCGACGCTTTCGCCGGATGCGGCTTT